TTGAGGAACTGCAAATATTTTTCAACGGCGGAGGTATCTACCGGAATGTGACATTTGACACGATTGTTATGTGCTACGGGCTTAGCTTTCACGGTCGAGGCCAAACGGTAAAGATTTAGAACAGGATGAACACACAAGCCAACATAGGCTGGCAGATTGGAATAAGCTTAGTGGTGAACGGTCACTCGAAATCTCTGACCATCGGATTGCTTCACACATATCAATTCATTCTAGCTCCGATGTAAACTCCGACTTATTGCAAGAAATTTGAATGACCACACGCGCGATACTTTTAGCGATCTGCGGTAGCCTGGAGTAAACCACAGAAACTTCAAATAAAAGTTGTTCCAGCCAAAATTAACAAAGCTTTTATTTGAAAATCTATGTATGTAGATCAGATTTTCCATGTAATCTAAGCTGCGGCTAATGCAGCAAGTTTTAGCATGTGTTCCACCTTCCGTAGTTAAATATAAAACGATGGTATACACTAGATGTTGGTGAATAAATACCTCAGTGTATACTACACTGCATCATCAAAGCATTTTGGTTAAGTAGCGAGATTGAGAATGAGATAAAGGTTATAGCATAATGTATAATTACACTCGGATTATTGCTTTATCGCGCCGACGAAAACGAATTTATTCACTTAGTTACTGGTAACATGCATAACTGTTCACATTTATTCAACAGCGAAGCTACTCCGGGAAAAATTATGTTGAGACACAAAATTCTCAGCGGATTGAAGCAAAATTGTCGCCGATTTTGATGGCGAAAACGCTTTATTCTGCCGTCTATACGTCCTTACCAGCAGTAGTATATTCCAACTATTACTCGTAATTATCTCCGCTACGGAATGTCAACGAGCTTGGTTAACGCAAGTGAGACTGCACACTCGTAACGAAAGAAGCGAAACAATGCGTAATACCGAAACATTTTCTTAAAACAAATACATTTATGCAGGAGAGTTATTGTTGGGTGGTTGCTGTTATGTAGCCACGGCTTCTGAAAGGCAAATGCAGAATATCCATTTCATATACGGGTTAAAATAAGCAAGACTCAGAGAAGGTTTGTTTCACCTATGACTTTTGGTGCCATAGTGTTCAACAGGTGAAGAATAAAAGCTGTCTTTCTTTATAGAAGAAACACATTGTACGCATAAAACGGATATAACACAACAGACTTGTGAAACTAGATGAGGATATTTTATGAGCTCAAAGCTACCAATATGTTTAGCTCCGTGCATCAGATCATCACGATAACTGCGACTAGAATGCTGAAGACGCTTGCCACTCCGGACAAAGGCCAACAATCTATCAGCTGCGCCACACAGTTGCTTACACCGGAGATATTTCGCTTACCATTCGTAGGTTTACTTAGTGGAACAGAATTCGTAATATACATTAATTCGTGCCTCCATTCTCGAAGGACTAGGCAAAAGATTTCCGTGATACCGTTTACTCAACTAGATGGCATCAACCTCATGTTTGTATCCAATTTGCCTAGCTACATTTATAATGCATTGTCATCACTATATGATTCGTTCTAGTTACTGAGCGCGCGTAAATAAATATTTATTTAGATGAATTGAACTTGCAAAGCTTAAAGTTTACGATAATGATGAAGTTAAGAAACGTACAAACATTTACTAAAATTCAATAGCAGACTTCAGACCAATAAGTTTAGTAATACGTTAAAGTGCCCAATTACTTTTTTGCAATTTATGCTAAGACTGAGTAACACTACTCATTGTTTTATAGCGTACTCATGTGGGATTAATGAAAAATTTGTGAGACCATAGGCCTGTTAATTTTGTCAAATGTTCTCGTCCATTCCTCCTCACTACGGAATTCTGTTGGCATATTTCATAAGAAGTGATCAGCAACAGTTCACAAAATAATGTATACTCTGCGATCCCTAAGCGTATAGTCATGGATATAATTACCCGTAGCTTCGCTATTTTGTGTTTTTAGCTTAAATAGCTCAATACAAACAAAGCAGCTTAATCTTTGTCTATTGGATGCTAAAATCGTGGGTAATATCCTAGATAGAATATCATTAAAGCGTTTTGCAACTACAACCCAGTAAGCTTAATCGCGCAAATACATCCAATTAGCACATGTAATGCATTGTAGCTCAATCCAACTTAAATCAAATCTGCATTAAAAGTTGGAAAATTGACACCTCCAAAAGTGGTGTATTCTTTCGATGAATATGCTACGTCGCTAGACGAAGAGTTGGAACAGATTATTATAAATTAGATTATTTGGTCAGAATAATTAGATACTTATATAAAAACGAACTAAAACAGCATACGCAAGCGCATTTGATGTTCATAGTGGAGTAAGGCTGCAACTCGGGTTGGTTTGCTACTTTATTTAAACGTGTGACAAATCCAATAGACAGTGCAATTAACAACTGGGGTCGTTAGCAAGTTGCCACCTGTTTTCTCATCCAATCGTGATTATATTCTCGTGTCAACTGCTATTATGCACTGGAATGCACACTTGTAGATCCGCAAAGCATCTTTTCCAGATATATAGATCGAAAATGCATCTTAGACCTATTAGGTTAACGTAGTAATTTGAAATTTCTCGGGTCAACTTGGTGCAAACAAAAGTTTCACTACCATTACTTGCAAAATCATCTATGATATTGACAGGATCGCAAATTAAATAGTTTCATTACGCACTAACTATATGCTTGGTTTAATGCCCAATTTATTTGAATATCGTTCAGGGTCCTCGGTTGCAAAGTGCAAGTAAATAGCATTACAAATTGTTTGCTCAGTTTTCATCAAAACATGAAATGCAAACAAAAATCACAAGAAATGTCATGCACCTCGTACCTTATTGGAATTAGTTTCACTCACCAATTTTCGTAACCGTTAACGTAATAGATCTCTTTCCATCACCTGAAAAAATTGGTATTGTAATTATCAACATAGTTGCCATGTATTGAACTGTGGACATGTCCATGGAAGAAATTACTCGAGGCATGGAGGCTTCTTAACAAAACTGTAAATGACAATGTTTATTTCTTGTATATTGAGGCTGCACACATTCCTGAAATAAATTCGAAGCTATGTTTTAAACTGCAAGTACTGGCCAATCGATACGCATGTTCGTAAAGCAACTAGTTTCGCGTTTTGAACTGCAAATCAATTTAATATAGTATATCATATAAACATATTACGAAGCTTTACTGCAAACATCATATTAGATGCAGAATTGTGGTATGTGTGGAGACGAAATAAATTCATGCAATATCGCACGTTCATTTGTTATTCATACATTTTGGGGGGCGTTTTTTGAGGTTATGTATCGAAGCGGACATTGCGAATTAAACCCAGTAAATCCTTAACACGCATGACATAATTAGACAGCTACGTATTACTTGAACCCTAAGCACGAGCAGACATGCATTCTTACTGTTTACAATCGTTTAGATTTACCTGCCTAGTGTGCAATATGCAATGTGTTAACCTGAGATTTGACAGTATGTAAACCCACACAAACAATATCTTTACCCTTTCGTTCTGTCATTGCAGTAGTGTTCATGCGATGTTTGGATAGATGCACAATCAGAATGAAGAAACAGCACAGTTTCCAACAGAACCGCTTGTTTATTACAAACGTCTACTCAGTCCGTACCAGTTGATCTGTAGCTTTTATAGAAGGATTTGATGCAATCTAGTTATGTTATTATTCGCCACTTCACGGCATCCTAACCTTAAGGCTTATTAGCTATGGGATCAGTAAGCCAACTTCGTTTGTGAACACTGAATAAATGTGAGAGTACCTTTCGTCAATTTTATTCGATAAATATGCCGTTAGTATCTCGGTATCATTGCTTCTAAAGATATGGCTAATCTCAGTGCACAAAAAGATCACGGGATTGAACGTTACAATAGTTTTACTCTTTGTCCCGAGTATATTTTGTCATCCATGACTTTAAGATAAATTTGCTGTATTTTAGGGGTAGTCGACTTAAAATATTCACTGGTTGAATACCATCCAGTGTTGTTTACTAACAAGCGCTACTTAAAGACTAACAATTATAGACTAAGTGCACTTTCCCTGTAATAAATATTACAGTACCCATACAAGATGTCTTTGGTGTTTGTAACCAGACAAAAGGGGTAATGAAGCGAGTCAACACATGAGTCTTTGATAGATGTTTCTGTCCTATCGTAATATTACAAATCCTTGGTGATTACGTGCAGCCACAATTGGCTTACTCCATCCAGGTCTGGCATCTTTCAGGAATATACAGCCTACCCATAAAGCAACCTTAACACAATGTTTACTCTATCGCTATCACCAAATATTTTCCTCCCTTGGTTAACCCAGTCGTAAAAACGTTTGTCCACTACAGTTATATTCGTTTCTATGCCAACCGAATAAAAGTTAGCGTAGTTATTTATTAAACCAAATAGACTGCGTGCTTAAATGTGTCAGAACGTAAGTAAATTTTTGTGCGAATACGAAAATTGCGTTGAGTTTAGCGGTACGAATTGCTTTTCCTGGATAAATTTACATTCCGTTTTTACTTTTTACCTATGGGACTAGTTGAACATTTGTTTTGTTACTAATGTCAAATATATTGTTTCCATAATTCACTCTTCCGGCAACACACGTGCTGTATACAACCACAGTCTGCTTATAATGCGATTGCATTAAAATCTCTGTGAGGTCCGAACTGATGAGCTGTCTGACCGAAAGTTTCACAAACAGAACACACGCGATTTTGAAGCAGAAAGCGCTTTTGCTTGATAATACAAATGTATCAGCGACAATGTTTATAATAATCGCTAAGTAGACATTAAGCTGCTAATAAACTATCGCGCAATTCATGACCCAAACCTTATTCTATCTAGTTCTCCGGAAGATGATAATCAAATTATCCCTTGAGATATTATTCATGATTGTCATATGCTTGCTACAAATTGCGTGACAAATGAGTAAATGGACTGACATGGAGAATTTGACTTTTTCTTTGATTTAACCAGTAACTTCTAACAGCTTTGTGGAATACTCACCCAGCTTCAAGTAGTATGCTAATTTTTCAAGCACTGTGAAGGGAAAAGATGACGCCACAATAGGTTTCCATAAACAATGCTAACATTGTCTTGTTCAGATGTGTTTAATAAAATAATTACGCTTGACATATTATACAGATTGACTCACGTTCGTCTACCTGACCGGCATCTGGTAAAGGTGCGAAAGGATCGAGTATGAATCAGAATACACGGTGATCCACATGCAGACTGCACGTACGTGTGCGCATGGTTGCACTAATGACCAGAACAGCTGCCGGCATAAGCCAAGGGATTACAGTGCTGTGCAAAAGACAGCAATCCATCCAAGCTATGGGTTGATCTCCACTAACGATAAGTGCTTATTGGGGAATGTTCCATGCATTCGTTCATATGAAAATGTATGAAAGCTTACTTGACCTACTGGATTTTTGAAAGGCTAGTAGCGTTAGTTTGATGTTCCAAGAAACGAAAAAATGGATTACACTCTTCTACACCATTCAAAGTAGCACTATTAACGCGAGTGATGGCAGCTTCGTAGCAGGAGGTAACATCCGCAATAGATTTTTCCTAGTTCGCTTGAATTTAATGAACAAAACGAAATACATTTGGCAGGATAACGCATATTTGCATTTTCATTAATGTCATTCTTATAAATATACATATATATATATATACATACATAAGCGGACCAGATAAGATGCACTAGCAAGGATCTGCAGTTGTGTCAGCCGGATGGCACATACGATTATCCCGCTTATGAGTTTGCATACATCATGGGCCGGATTAAGCTGCCGTACCTAATCTAGGGATTTTCGTTCATGTCTTACAATAAGCACAAACGGAATGGTTACACGAGTATACTTTCTCTTTCCTTATAGCAAGACGTGCTACCTATGAAGTGCTACTTCATGTCAACTAAAATGAGCGCGAGACCAAATAGGCGCATTTAGGTTTGAAATTTCTGAAATCTGTTATGTACAGAACACTCACTTAGGTGCAATCCGCTTAGCACATCCCCGATTACTGTAGAAAGATCGTGATAAATGTATGAGGAAAACGATTATGGGTGTGCTTACAAATCAATGCAAAGTGGTATAAATATATATATATATATATATATATATATGTAAACGACGAACTCACGTGCTATGGCCACGTCCTCGTCTGAATAGGGAATTTGGTAGGATGGTTGCGATAATAAAAATCACGCAGAAAACTAAAAAGAGTTTGCTTTCAAAATTGCATTTAGTGTACCCACTGTTTGGCTGGATTGTGACTCGCAATATCTATCCAGACCACCGTTCACTTTGAAGTAGACCTCGATCATTACGACCACGATGACCGTATTCGAATTGGAGGTGGTTCGGTGATGCTGCCGCACTGAACTACTTCGAATTCGGTCAACGTAGATTGTTGTCCAAGTTTATTTAGCTTAATTGTATGTGGCAAGCAAGTGATCAAGGTCTTGCTATTCGTTACCACTGCAAGCAAATGCAGTATCAACAAGCGCTTGCGTCTGAAACGCACCGATCTATAAGCGCCTTTATTAATGCTAAATATTATTCCTCAGTATTTGCCTCCCATTGTATTATAAAAGAAATTTTCCCTAAATCATCACTGCTCTGACAATTGGCAGTAAACTCTCTGACATCACAGTATCGACCGCGCAGATACTTCGTGATTTATGCAAGGGGCGGAGGGCTAGTTTCTTGAACATAAAAGTCGAACAATGTTAAGCTTCCACATCTCATGGATGAAAGTCCTTTGATAACTGAGAATACATAACTCACTGAATGGTGCTCCAAGTATTGCCATGCTGATTACTGTAAAACCCAGATAGAAACATTGTTATTTAGCTTGCATATGTGTGATCAGCTTGTCAGAAAGAAACTACGTTGCAACTCCGCATGAGTAGTTGACAAAAGACGGACTCACATTGTGCCGCTGCCGTCAGGTCTGTAATATATTTGCAGGACATACATATCGACATATTAAGTAGTTATATCCTTGACAGTAAGGTGGTACGTTTCCCAGTTAGTGGCTGATATATGAGGTTTTACACAACCGACTACAAAGATCTATTAAATCTAGGATTGAAAACAGTCTGCAGTAAAACATAACCCCATTACTGTGTTGTGTATACATAAGTTAAGCACATGATTGTGTTTCCCTAAGAGCAACTCTATCGGTTCCGACGATGTGATAAGAATACTAGTTGTAACGTTTCTTAATTTTAGGGTACACTAGCTATATCTTAATAGGTTTTCCCTCATCCATGCTCTACCGGCAAACAGGCCATTTATCACATCAATTCACATCTGATCTAATGCGATCTTTTGACAATCTCCAGTCTAAACAAATATTCCCATAGCGTAGATTTCCTCTCACCCTTATGTGAAACTCAGCGGAAGACCGCGAGTTTACTATACCGTAACTTATAACAAGTAATGTTTTTGTGGAGAACTTGTATGTCACACTAATTTGTGTCATTAGATAACACTTTTGCAAAATATCGGCTTTGATCGCACATTGTGTTGTGTTTAATGATTTGGGGCTCATCGTCATAGTCATATGATAATGAAGAGGAATTTTATGTCATGTAGGTGAATTTGTTAAAATCATTCGATTGTTCAGTTCATCCGATTTTATTTAACAAGCTCCAATATAACAAATAGACGACCCACATTTGAGCCTCATTGCCAAATTTCTCATGAGACGACAATTAGTGGTCAGAGTCCGGAATTCCTTATTTGGCCCCATACCATCTGAGGCTGGTGTACCTTATGACTCAGTACTAAGGTCATGATAGTTATTGGTGTTTTATTTACGGATCTTGCCAGACAAGCACTTCAAATTTCTTACCGTTTACTGACGACATCAATAACTGTTTTGACTCATAAGCACCTCCATGCCAAGGGGAGGAAAAGGATTGTTTGTGGCAAATCAAGTAAACTTACAATTTGTATCTAAGGCCCAACGCGCATATTATGACCACTGACATCCAAGAGTTACTTTTCAATTATTTAAGTACGCATGAATAGGAAAATGCGCAACAATTATTTTTCAAATTAAAAGTTAATACCTACGCCTTTCTCTATTTTATTATTCACATAGCACACGCAAAGCAATAAGCAGAACAACGTAGTTGATTGGGCAACGAAATGTCAGATTTGCCTCATCGCGTCCCTCAAGAGCAGACCCATTACTGAAGAAAACTGTTTATTGTTTTTTAACTTGAGCAATTGCCTTTTATCACCATCTAATTGCAACTATGAATCTTGGTTTTTATAGCAAGGAGACTGTGTCGACTGCAATAATTGCTTGATTTTCCCCAATGGCACCAACATATGGTGGGCAAACAACAGTCGGAAAAATTACGAACTGATGCCGTGAGACCGGCATTGCGCTTTTGAAATCTTACATATGAATCCATTTTGTTCAGTGCGGATAAGTGAAAGTTAGTATATGTAACACACCAACCAGAAATCCTATAGGTTGGGAGTTAACTTATGTACGACATCATCAAGCCAGCGCGAATATGCTTAGTCATCCAAGATATCTTTGGAGGTTCAGATCAATCCGCAATGTTGCCCAAAGCGTGTATAGTATCTTTTGATCACTTATGGAGGTATTTAGGGAGGTTAACCATTCCATCTTTTGGCAAATGTATAAAACATTTCTGGGGATAAATTTAGAGCAATCGATTTAATTGTATCAATTCTACTCTATAACGCGGTCTTGTATCACTCAAAGCCAAAGATCGATAGCAATTAATATCTCAAGTGCCTGCTTCATCTGTTTTAGCAAACACGACTGTAAATCCCAGGAGTGCACAGTTTGATTCGCAGCCCTGTACAGATTTTCACTAACCTAAATTTTTCTAATTTTCTAGACCTCAGCTATATTTGGCACTAGCTTACACAAAACTAAAACAAAATACTGAGAAACCATCAGCGGAGGATAGCAATGCAATACAACCGGTTGTAACGCTGCCTTGATATTTCCGCCCTAATTTGTCAGCCACTGAATGCTCTTTCGACTAAGTCATTTCTACAGCCACTTGTTGCATTTTAACTAAATAATTGAAAAATGCTTTACACCACTTGTGTTGCGTAACATTAATACCGAATAAGGAGTGACGATAAAAACCACTATGATAACATAACTAATACGTAAGCTTGCAGACGCTCAGTATACTCAGCAAAACAAGGTTATTTTGAATTTGTGTATTTCACACACAGTATTCTGTGAGACTTTTCGTGTTATGCATTCTACCCGAGCTACAGCAATTGTCCATTCTTATTAATATTTTAACCTTAAGCGCATTTCTTGTACGATGGAAGAATTCGCACTGCTTGTAGACGCATACGAAATATTTTGGCGGTTATGAGAACACTTGATATTCTGCATTCCGTAGTAATTCAGGTTGACAACATTTTGATTGCTTCCGTGCAAGGTAAGCTGAGGGGTCCAGTCTCATGAGACAGACCACCTAGGTTTGGGTCGAACCTTGAGTAAAACATAGTTGTGTCCCAAAGCGATGGGATCCATTACCTTTAATAAATAACTAAAGGAAATCTGCTTGGAGCTTAGCCTGTCTTTGGTTTTCTATGGATTAGGCAAATAAGAAAAATCTCTTAGATGTCAATAATATTTTGACCCAAACTACCAGTAGACATAAAGTAAAGAGACCAAAGATAGACTTGCCCAAAATGTGATGCAAAAAACCGAATACATAGAAACATCTGTGTTGTTTGAATTTCTTATTTAATTCTGGTCGATAATCTTACCTTTACCATAACTCGAATTGCACGATGAACACCGTTCAATACTAAAATTACTTGGTCCATTGATGTGGAAGTCTACCTTTTGTACTGGTCATACATGACAGCGTGCGCAAACGAACATCTCCTCATTTTGTTAAGCAACAGTCTATAACTCACCGAGTTTCAACTGCTGCACAATCTGGATGATTACTGTAACATACAGGTAATAGTAAGGTCGTTTAAATAACTGAGGCACCATTTCCGTGTCATGTACAAACTTGCAATTAAAAAGATCGCAAAACTCACGTTGAGCCGTCATGGAAGAATCTAAGATGGATGGGTATACATGAATCTATTAAATATTGTGCCGTTTCCTTGATTGTTATTCGTACAACTATCCAAATTCGCAGCTTGGAGAAAACAGTCATGTCTCAGTAGGTATATAAATGCACTGAAATGTATTTAGGGCTTGCAGCAACCACAAAAGGTGTTTAGTTTGTGTTGATGCTGGTCCTACAATAACATGTGGATTTGTTTTCTTAGAATCTAAACGACAAAAAGCGTTAGTCAATATTACTGCTTTAGTACGCTGCGAGCTATAAGCATGGATAAGCAACATGGGTAATTAACGCCATATGCAGTCTACTACAACAAAGTAAAACCTTATGCTCAACTACAGTGGACATCGCTGAAATTTGCTTTCTAAGTGGTTGGCGAACCCTTCTAATGTTTGTACCCTACCGAAGTCCAATCATACTGTCGCTCTTGTTAGCGGAGCAGAAAAGGAGCAATGCGTCCTATTAAGACTCATCAGATGTGTGCATTTAACTCAATGTATACAAACAACAGTACTTTGAGTTAGAAAGTAATGATAGTGGATTTTGCCCTGGATCATGTTTAGACTGTAGATCTAGTTAATGTTATTAATAGTTGCTAACACACACAGCACTGTTAGAGAGTTATGCGTCTCTGCAAAAGCCTTACCGCGAAATCTGAGTACCTTAAGGAATGGCTCCATTTCATTCTGGCATTACACGCAGCATAGCAAATAAGAAACAGTGCAACAATCTACTTCACTAATT